TTTGCTCTCCTGGAAGAGCGGCATTCGTTCGCACCTTGTCCTGGTTTCTTCTGCCTGCGCTGGATAGCTGCACGCTGGCGGTGGCCTTTGGGTCTGGCCCAGGTGTCTGTGCACTGGGAGGAGATTCTGGTTGGCTGCTTGGGGTGCGGCCGCTCTGTCGCCACTACACGTGGGTGGTCTCAGGCTACTGGACCAGTGTGTCGGGGGCCGTGCTGGCCAGGGGAACAACTGGCAGGCTGCTTATTGCTGTGAGGAGCTACAGAGCTGTGCTGCCGCCCGGCGTGTTAGGTCACCTGGAGTTCCCCAGGATTCCCAGCTGCTGGGCTGAGTGTGCCGGGATGATTCCATCCATCTATGAGGTCCCTGTCCCTTTAAGACTTTAAAAAGCACTTGCTTTTCTTTTGTCCCAGGGGAGCCGGTTTCGGGGACCTGCTCACAGAGTTTGCTTCTCCATTTCTCTAATATTCAGCACACCATGTACTGTGTGTCTGCACTCCTGGTGTGGATTACTAGAGCTGGTTGTTTAGCAGTCCCAGGCTTTCACTCCCTCCCAGCCGCAATTCCTTTCCTCCCTCCAGGGAGCTGGGGTGAATGGAGTGCTTGGATCCCACCAGGCCGCAGCTTGTATCTTACCCTCTTCGTGAGATGCTGAGTTCTCGCAGATGTAGATGTAGTCTGGCTGTTGTACTGTATCCACTCGTCTGTTTTAGGAATAGTTGTATTTGTTGTATTTTCAAAAATATATATGGTTTTGAGAGGTGATTTCCACTGAACTACTCACTCCACCATCTTAGCTCCTCCCCCAGACAATTCAATTTTGGTTGAATTAGCATTGCAGCTTCATTTAGTTATATTACCTATTTTAATAGAGCTGAACCATGTAAAGTAAATTGGTATAACCCCTTTGGAAAGTAATTTGGGTATATATATCAAGAACTATAACATTTTTCTATTGAGAGCCATAAAATTGTTCATTGCTTTTGATGAAGTAAGCCCACTCTTGGGAATTTATTCTAAGATATAACCAAAAAAAGAAGGGAAAATATTCAAACACAGGAAGGTGTTTATTTTGGCATTAGTGATAACAGGCATTGATTAGAGACAATCTTGAATAGAGGAATGATTAAGATATACATTTTAAATTCATATGAATAATTATGTAGCTACTAACATGATAATCTGATATAGATTGGCAGCTGTGTGTATGGAGTAGACAGCTGTGTGCCCAGATCTACACTGAGATACAGAGAAAGGAGAGATGCACTATCATCTGTTACCCCTGCTTGGTGACAGATAACAATCTGCAATACTGAGTTACTGATATGCTCAATCAGCAATGCTTCACTTTTATTACTATATTCATTGCCTTAGTGATCTTATTCAGTCTCCTGATTTGAAATATTCATATGCTGATGTCTCACAAATTCATATCCCTAGCTCAGACTTCTCTAAACACAAAATGTGTATATTCTTTGGCATTGTTGTCATATTTAATAGACAATTCAAATCTAACATGTCCAAAATGCACACAACACCTGGTATTCTCCCATAGATCCACTCCAATCACAGCTTTCCTTTTTCAGTGAGTTACAAGTCTATCCTTCCCACTTTTCAGTCCAAAAACACTGACGTCATCTAAGAGGCTCTTCTTCCTCTATCACCATTACCCAATCCTTCAGGAAATCCTTTCGGCCGTACCCTCTCAATATATCCAGAATTTTCCTCTTCCTTACCTTCTCCACAACTATCACTCTGGCCTAGGCTAACACTTTCTCTCAGAATTACTACAATAGGTTCCCTACTGTATTATTCCCCCCACAGACTGATCTTAACACAGTATGCCAATGATTTCAAAACTTTTAATAATACTGTGATACTTGAACATACATGATTCTGTTGGATTTAAAGACCCTTAGATGGAGGCCACATGTCAGTAATATAAAAGATATGGGGAAGTTTTAAAAAAAGTTCAGAGAAATATATATGTATTTGTATATATATATATAGCTGATATTTTTTTCCAGGCTCACCCTGTATTGCCCATGGCAGTAGAACATGGGCTTGTGTTTGAAACCTGCCCATTATTGTTTGTATTTTCTAGTTATCTATGCTTATTCAGCCAGTAAAATCTCCCTGCCCTTTCCTAGAAAATTCTGCTTGTCTATTGCTTAGGGGATAATTGTTACTTTTGAAATGATCCTTAATGTTTCTTTACTTATTAAAATTCATATGTAAATGTGCATATATGTATGAGTTTTTACATATATATATGTAGACAAACACTGTATTCATATTGGTATCTCTATTACAGAATATTGTTTGCCATCCTGATATTAAATATTCTGCCAGGGTCTTAACTCCTTGTGGATGAGTCTGCATTTTGTTCATTTCTGTTAAAAGCCTAGCACATAAAAAGTATTTAATAAAGTGTTTAATTTGAAACCCTTTTTCACTTCGGAATTCCCAGTTTTTGAACTACTCAGGGGGCTGCCTCTCATGTACTCACAGTAATGATGCTCCTAAGGACATGGGCACCCAGCCCTCACTGAGGATGGTTTCAGGAACCAATTCAAGGAAAGGAAAGCATGTTGAGTACCACTTTAGACTCTCCTTAGCTGGCTCCCTGTAACTCATCTGGTTTCTCTCTGATGTACTTGGTGCCACATAGTGACTACCTTTTGCCCTTTGAATCAGTTTTTATCTTAAAAACACTCATATAATAACCTAATCAGAACATCAAGGAACAAACATTTGGAAGGTCTTCTAACATTTTGCAAAGCAAATCTTTATAGATCTATTTATTTTTTACTGCTATAGAACATTAATATCTAGTTTAATAGCACTTTATACTTTCTGGTCGAATACCTTCCCTTTTCCTCCCTTCCACCAACTCCTACCTAAGTGAAGTAATGGGCTGCCATTATGTATAATTTGCAGTTTTATTAGCTCTTCACTTTACCAACCTGAAAAGATGACATATTCACCTTTTATAATAATGCATATTTTAAAGTTGCACATTTTTATGAAAATTTCCTTTGAAATTCCTTTTTAAGTCACTGTGTAAATAAGTCAGTGAATGCTCATAAGCTTCTAAGTGTTTTGGTTGGGAGGGTGAAGGTATGTCAGGAGATCAGTGAGTAAGACAATGAAGAGAGGTGAGAAGCTTATATGAGAGCCCAGTGCTGATAGAGATGGGTTCAATTTTCCTGGCTAGAAAGATAAAAGAGGCACAGCCAGTTCAAGGACAGCAGCTGTGATGGAGAACACCGTGGATGTGTACTGGAGGCAGTCTGAAGGCAGGATCTCTCCACTGACCACTCTTACTGAAATTCAAATTTTAACTTTTTCAAAAAGCAGTGGAACCAAGGGAACTTTGACTGGGACACTTCCCAGTGGCATTTCACTTTATTTCAGCCAGTCATCTTTTGAAAGTATTCAAATATGAGCTTCAGGAGGGCACCTTGTCTTTGACATATTTTCCCCTGGACTAGTCATGAGAAATTAGTGTGTTTTGTGTGTCTGCATATGTCTTCCTTGATTGTGTCCTCAGCTCTTTCAATTATCCCTCTGATCCTCACTGACTTTCTCCTTCCAGGAAGAGCACATTAGTGGACACCCTTGTGTTTACGTGTGTCTTCTTCGTCATCTTTTGTCATCTTCTTAATTCCAGCCAGCTTTATTGTGTTCCTGATCCAGGAGCGGGTCAGCAAGGCAAAGCACCTGCAGCTCATCAGCAGAGTGAAGCCCGTCATCTACTGGCTCTCCACTTTTGTCTGGGACATGGTAAGGGCACCTGTCTGCCGCTGCCTTATACATGCCATCAGGGCTGTGGATCGGATGAACGAGCTCCTGGCTCTTCTGAAAGTGTTCTAGTCATTCTATGGATAAATGAAAAGGGAAAAGGCAGAAGCAGTTGTCTACTTTCATTGCACCAACCATGGCATTAAGTACAGAGCTGATCTCACATCAGAGAGAAAATCTGTCCACACTGACTCCATTTAATACCACTACCACCTAATTTCCTAAGTGACAACTTTTCAAAGGAACAGTGAGGTAGAAGACTTAGTCAAAACTCAAAGCCAACGCTTCTAACTTCTCTGACAGTCAAAGATGTTCTTTGCCTTCTTAGGAAACTAATCTGTCCTTTGAATTCCAGATAAATGAGAGGTGAATCTGCTTCCTGTTTTTCAATTTTCCCTCAGATAGCTAATTCTCATAATTTAATATGTTGTATTTGCAATATAGGTTAGGAACATAAAATAATATAGCTATAATTACAGTCTACCAGAAAAGCTTTGAAATACCAAATCTAGTTTAAGAAGGCTGAGGTACTCAACTAAAATAAAGATTAAAGTTGTTTGTAGGAAAATCCTAGCTTATCTGTGACAGTACTGAAGAAAATCTCCTTGTAGGGTTATTAGTGTGCCATTTACATGAGGTATCTTAATATTTACAATCAAGACAGCACATTTATTACTGTCTCATTACCTACAGCAACATAGTAACTCCAGAGAAGAGGATTAAAACACAAAATAATAAAAAGAATCAGAGTGTATATGTAGACTTTTATTAGGGCAAACATTTCCAAAACCATAAATACCTTATTAAAACAGATGTCCCAAGTATCTCTGTTAGTGATCTACAATGAAGTAAAAATTAGTAAATTTAACCATGAATGAAGACATTTTAGTATGTAAGCTGATAAGACTTCAACAAATTTTAATACCAGGTCCTAAGCACATTGTTTCCACATATGTGATTATTAGTATGAAAATCATAATTAATAAACATGACAGATAATACTGTACTTTTCCATAATAATGAAATATGTTTAATATTTTTATGAATCCCATTTGGTAGTACAAAATAAATTTTACTGGACAAAAACTTTTAAAATCTCAGAAAAACAGACATGAAGAGAGATTGATTATGTAATTAAAAATATTACCATAGGCATGGAAATATCATTTGAATATAAGAAAGTGCTGTAAAAGAAGAGGGTTGTTAAAATAGAGAACAAGAGATATTCTGAAAGAAATAAAAAGCAAAATCTTGTAGTAACAACAACTATTTTTAATGTTTAAGAGATACTGAAATGCCAAGGGGAAATGAATAGAACTGTTTCCTGAAGTGGTAGTGATGCTGGAGGTGGCTTTAAAAATGCAAGGGACATAGAAAATTAACTTACCACCTCCATGTAAAAATGAGAATCTCTTGGGAGAATTTAAGCATTGTTAGCAGACACATCTCATGACAGTTAATGAAAGGCTCCATATTTCCATGGAAAACTACTTCAACGGCGAAAATGAGGTAGGAATCAGAAGCATATTCTGCTGACACTCAAGGAAGTTAACACTTTCCCGAACTGGAAAAAACATTTCATAAGAAGGCATATAAGGTTTTTGACAAAGTCAAATTTGTTCTCAGAATAATTTGTGCTTAGTGAAACAGCTTACCAGCTGCCACGACTCTGGGATCCTCATGGGACTGATGTCTCCCAGCTGCACGACTCTCTGCACTCTCATTCCACCAAAGAACGTGAACTGAAGAAATAAACCAGAAATAGAGTCTAAAAACTATGGCATTACTACAAATAAGAAACACAAAAAAAATTAATCAGAAACATTAAATCTTATTGTTTAGATCAAAATAGTGACTACCAAAAAGGTAAAAGTAAGTATGTTAATGATAAGATTTCAGAGGACTTAGCGATTTGGCAGAGAAGTTTATAATCAAACTGGTTTTACAGATGAAGAAACAGAAGTCTGGAGAGAGGAAGTAAAGTAACAAAGCTAAAGACACAGTCTAGTAGACCAGGTTTCCTGACTTCCTAATACATTTTATTTTATTTAAAATAAAAGCAGGATTATAAGAATCAAATATCAAATCATTAGGTTGTATATTGTATACCTTACACTTAGAATGTTATATATCAATTGTATCTCAATAAAACTGGAAAAAACGACAACAGAAAAAAATCATAAAAGTGCATTCAGTGGAAAAAAACGATGTTGAAAGGAATAGATTCCTTGAGGCTCCTTCCAGTTTTAAAAACTTTATCATTTTGATGTATCAGGGAAAAGTGCAGTTCATTATTTGAAAAAGGCTTCATAAGGTGTTAACATTTAAACAAATTAGATGCAAAACAAGTTTTCTCAGCTCTTCATATTACAGCAAAATAAAAATTTAGCAATAAAAAGTAATATATACTCCATAATAAGAAGAGACAGAAGGAATTTATTAAATGTCATCAGTATACTTCGCAGTTTCACAGAAGATATGTACAACTGTACCTCTGTTGAGTAACCCATATTCTGCATGGAACACTCCAACTAGTTTTGTGTAGCCTCGACTGACATGAATTTGAACTGCCCGTTTAAATGAGTCACCCCACAGAGCTGGCCCACCAGGTTTCATCTGAAAAGTAGCTAGTTCATAGACTCCTAGAGAAAGGAGAAAAATAGTTATTTTATAGAATACATTCAGGCAATTTCTAATCATGCTTCGTTTGGTTCCAGTGGAAGCCTAATCTTCATATATAGATTTGGTGGATCATATATGTACATATGTTTGTGGAGACATATTTATTAATAATTCGCATTGTTTTTCTTTTGTTTAGAAACCCTTGTCCTAGTTTAAGGGTCAGTTGTTAAGCTTATACAGAACACAGAAAAACACTGGAAGCTGTAGGTAAAGTATTATCTAAAGTATTTTTAATCTGTAAAATCTGTCAATAAAACAGAATTTATAATGGAATAGGACTTTTTAAATGCCTGGGTCTACATCTTTATAAAAGAAATGAATAAGGAACCATTTTCTAATCTCTTACAGTTCCATTATTCTCTCCAATTTCCACTACTTTTTCTTTATAGAATTTCCCACTATGGGATTCTATTTCTAACGGAAAGAGCAAGCAAACAATGGACCTGAAGTGACAGTCTCAGAGTTTTTGAGGGAAAAAAAATACCTGTAAGGAGATATATTATTATTCCTAAATATCCAGGCAAATACTTGAGAAGCATTTTACTTTCTGGATGGAAGAATAGGGTTGGCGGAGAGAAAGAAACTAGGAGACAAGTAGATTTGAGAAGTAAAGGAAAACCATGCAAAAGTTATTGAAGAATTATGAGTAACATAAAGGAAGAAAACCAAGATTTGACACTGTTTGGTTCATTCAGTGCTGAAGCTGAGGGGGATCTTAGTGGGTAAGGATTTTGACTTCTCAAACCTCTTATATTCTAAAACACACTACAAAGTTGGGAGTAATGGGGAAAATAACATAAAATTTAAACTAGTTTATACTTTCTCTAATCTGACCTCTGTTTAAAACTGGATTAAGGTAATAATTTCTTTATGTCAGCAAGAAGTGAAATAAGCAAAGACAAATCTTCACAAATTATTTTCAAATTGAGAAATAAGAGGAAGACACAAAATTAGACTACATTAATTCAGCTGGTCAGTTTCAGTTATTCATTCCCCCTAAAGTATTTTATAAGCAGATGTGTACTTAAGATTTAAGATTAATTGTAATTTGTGGAAAAATGCTTTTATATTTAAAAGTTTATAGTATTTTAAAATATGGCAAAATATTACACATTATCTCTTACCTACTACCTACACATATGTACACTGCTCCCAAGGCCCAACTTCTCGACCTTTACTTACCATGTCTACTTTTCTATAATACAGGTAGGTAACCTTTAAGAATTAGGAAGAGATCAACTTGGAAAAATACTTCATTATTTAATGCTCATTTTTCAAAGAATAAGCTAAAAGCTCCAATTTATTTTCATCTCAACAATCAATATATGTTCCTATTAAACAAAAGATTATTTGATTTTTTTCCTGTGGAACTTTAGTTTTTGTAGCTTAAAATCAGTATTTTCTCCATCAAAATTCAAAGTGACTAAGAGGAAAAGACTTACCTTCCTTTGGAGGCTTCTCTAATTTGCACCATGGCACCAGATAAGTAATCTCACTCTCTTGTTCATCTATGAGAGGCAAATTTGGAATGAGAAACTGTTCTTGCCATTCCTTATCTTTGGCCAAGGCTTTCCGAACTTCAGCTCGATGAGTAAAATTATCTATGGGAAGAAAATGAGTAAAAAAAATAAAAATTTTCAACTTAAAATCACTTTTCCTGGTTTCATTCAATTCAGCATGTTCATTGGGGCCACAAAGGATACTCTGTGTTGTATCACTGGGGATCCCAAAATAAATAAAGGTGACATGTCCCCAAGTTTCTCATGGTTTGAAAGGAGACTAGAAGTGTAAACAACTAAGTGTAATGTCATGGAGTGGGCTTTATAGGCTGTACCACTTAGTAAGCAGTTGTGTAACTTACTGAATCTTTCTGTGCCTGTTTCTTACTCTGGAATGGGGATAATGATACAGGATCTACCTCCAGGGTTGTTGTGAGGATTAAATAAATTAGTACATGAGAGGAGCTTAAAACAGTGTTTGGCACCTAGTTAGTACTCAATTATTAGTTAACTATTCTTATTAGTTGAGTTGCAGCATTTAAATTATATTGCCAACTCAGAGAAAGACTATTTTTTCTTCAGTGGTGGTGGTGGTGGATGGTCGGGTCAAGGCATACCCTGAATTAAACTTAACATAAATGAAATTAAGATGCACTTTTTTAGCCTCTTCAAGCAGTTTCCAAAGAAATAATGCTGATTCTCTTACCTATTGTCACTCATTCTCTTTAGTCAATATTTGTGTCTCTTCTGTTTGCTACACAACCAGGGTTTATATGTTTACTAACATATAGGTCTAGTACTTACAGCCTCATTAAGACTAATGGCAAGAGTTTTCTATAGTTTATGCTGCAGAAAAGGAATAACATCTAACTTAGAGCTTATATTAGGACCTTACTAGTAATTTTTTAATGGGACAAGATTCAGCTGGTAGTGCATTAAACCATAAATTGTGTTTTAATAGGGTTTGTTCTATTACAATAGGGAAAACTCCTAAACTATGGCCCTGTTAGGTATAGAATGAGCTCTTTTCATATTAAAGTAGCTCATGACTAATTAACTTTGGACATTGATGACCAAACACTAAACGGCATTATTCCAGTTCTTTGGGTATCATTAAGTCCTGATAAGGACTTCAGAAAGATTTGACTGTATAGAGTAACAAACATTCTGGGAATTCTGGTAACCATTCCCCTTCCTCTACTGAACCAGGAGCAGTCAGCTTCAGTATGGGAGGAACTCCTAACTTCCTTTCCCTTACCTTCCTAGACCAGTATGATGGCACTGAATTCCTTGAAACTTTGAGGTACAGGAATAAAACAAGTCATGAAACACAATAGAATTATTAAATCTTACAGATGAGTGAGGGCTTCAAAGTTAGCTGTCATTGCCTTTCAACTTCCAGTTGCCTAAAGCCCCTAAATGATTTTTGCTAAAACACTGATAGCTGGTTCTAAATTCAATTAAGAAAAAAATAATTCTACTTTCCTTTTAAAATCTTAACCCTCTTGGGTTCTTGCCATCACTGCTTTAAATTTTTCATAAACCATCTTTACAGTAAGTTATTCTTAACTTTTTTTGATGAAGTCTAGTTCACAATTCTATGACGTCAAATTTGAGATGCCACATTTTCCTAGTACCACATTCTCAAAATAATATAATGGTTCCAAGCAATGGGCTCTTACAGGTGTATCCACTGGGAGAAGTAATCACTTTATTTTTTGGTACTGCTTTTGAAAAGTTTTACTTGTGTGTATTTATGGTAATATAGATCCAAGAACTAAGTCTCATGTAACATCTAACAGAATGAAAATCTGTACTGAATACTAAAGCTGATGACTCATACCATACTTCCAAATATGAAACACTTTATTCATTCTGCCTCCAAATTCTACACTCCAGTATCCAACCAATTCAGAGTGAGCTGTCCGAAGATGAATGTTTTTCTTCACATTTTCCAGGAACTCATTCATCTTTGAGGGCTTAAGATAATAGGTACGGAATTCATAGAATGTCCCATCGTATTGTCTGGATCCTGTAGCAAAAAATGAGTATACCTGAAGAAAGATAAGGCATATTTAAATGCTTTGGGAAGGCAGGGTTTATAATATTTTACAACTATATCTGAGTCTGGAAATAAGGGGCACTCAGTGGATTCATAATCTGTTTGTACTTCTGTTGTCCTCTATAGACATTTGTTGAGAGTGAAGTTTATAAAGTATTTTAAACAAATAGCTACTATTTCCTATCGGGAGTCTATGTTTGGTCACTTTTACATGAGAAGCTGCTTATGAAAAGCCACTGGTACAATTTTTTACCCAAGAACTACATTTAGAATCCTAATAAATTTTACAAATAGTTGTGATTCTTTATTTAGCCAACATTCCATATTTAGTCCATAGTGTATGTGTTAGAGTTAAGCATTTAAAACAATTTGATAAAATATATAGGTATTCTGGCTAACAAAATATAAATATGTTTACTAGCAGAAAACTCATTTTTTTCTTAGGTTCTTAAAACAATGGAAATTGCTGGTCATGTCAAAGTATTTATTAAACCCAATGAAGTAGACCACTGGTCAAAAATAGGATAGGAATGTAACTAATGTAATAGGTAACTATGACCTAATTGCATTGTAATATAGTGATAGAATGTGTAAATGCTAGAAAAAAGGAGAAACCTTTTTTAAAAAGTGAGTCAGAATTGTCTGAATTATTGTTCATTTTAACTACAGATGTAGTCTAAGGGCATTTAATCCACTTAATTATATTAGGTTGATGGAAATACCTTAAAAACCATTAGTTCCTTTTGTAATTGCCATGTGCCATGTAAATTTCTAATTTGGTTCTCTGAGTAAACTGAACTTTCAGTGGGAAATGCCTTCGATATTATCCTGTGTATGCATATGTTTCTGTATACACACACATATGCGTACAGAGACACACATGGCATTCTAGTTTACAAATCCATCTTATATAACTTTGGTTAGCATGTGCACAGTTCCTGAAGCTGATTACACCAAAAAAATCTTTTAAAATAGTTTTGATATCTACAAACTATGGATAAATTTGGGGCTTATATTGACTGCCTGGTATGTCAAAGGAAAGCAGTAAGCTTCTTGCTCTGACATATATTTTGTTTACAAAACACAATAGTGTATGTGTTTTACTTGTGTTTAAGTCTTAATTAAAATCTAGAGCTCATTCCATCATGTTATTGCTGGTTTGACTATGCTTGCCATAAAAACAAGTGAGGCTGTCCCTGACTTGGTAGACATTCCTTCTGTGTCATTTTACTATACTCTAGTAGTGGAAGGTTATGCAAAGAAAAATTGCCTACTATCAGAGTTATAAAATATTATATAAAATACATCAGAAAATGGGTCAGTGGGGACTTGCACCAATTACTTTTTAAGTTGTTTTTTGGGGAATTTGTATTTGAAGAACAAAATGTGTGAACAGAAAAAAGGTCATTTTTATTATCTTTCTCAGAAGAAATGTACAATAATAAAGCCCAGGGAAAGGTTAACAGCAGTGAGAAAGGCTTGTGTGTGTTTGTGGCAATGGGTGAAGTGATTTGTGTTGCAGGGCCGCTAGAACTATGTCACCAGAACAAAGGACACCATGCTGAGGGATCAATCATGAGTGCTTCAAGGCTGCCTTCATCTTTCCAGTGAGAGCTCGTTTTTGGCAGCAATGACTTCCAATTTACTTATAAGAAAACAAATGGTCGACATTTGATAAAGTTCTAAGGAACAGTTATTGGTCCTGTTGTAGTAGAGATCAGGATAAAGTCTGTTTGCTAATCTTTGGTGAATGGACCATTAATGCCTCTTAAATTTTCACCAGAAACTCAATCTCTAGAACAGGGTAATCCCCTTCCTAACCTACCCGCCGAGAAAGGAATTTAAACAAACACCAAAGGGAAAAAAATTTCAGGTTAGATTCACAGAACAGTACAACTCATCACAGTCAGGGTGAAATCACGAAGATTCGTTTTGTAATTTTCATGTAAGATTAAACGAGGTTGCTATCATTCTGTACACTACGAGGTTCCTGACCCTGTCCGGCCTGGGCACCGGCGGCACGAGAAGGCGGGCAGCTGGGCAGGTGCTCCACCACCCGCCCCCTGGGGCTCTTCTCCAAGGTTCTCTGTAACACGCTCGGAAGTTGTGTGTTTCGTTGCACAGGGGAGGCCGGGTCTTATGCCGACTTGGCTGACCATTTTCATCTTCCACTTTCAGTATAGAAGGAGCAAGTGGCTTGTCCAAGCACAAACCAAAAGGGGCGGCCCGAGCAGCGCCGGCCGCGGACCGCAACGCCGCGAGCACAACGATGGCGGGCGGCAAAAACGCAGCAGGCGGAGCCTCAAGGCCACGCGGCAACTGAGCCAGAAAAGGGCGGCCGGCGAGATGGCGGGGAGGCGACGCTGGCAGGCGGGTCGACGCCCCTCGTGTCCACGCGCGTCCCGGGCTCCGGGACTCGCTCGGTAACCAGCAGCTGGGGGAATCCCGCAAGCCTGGTGGGCGCACGCGCAGCACTCGCAGGTCTGGGTGCGCCGCGCGCTCCCTGCAGACGCCCGCCCCGCCCCTTCCCCCCGGCGGGCGGTACCTGAGGCGTCGGCGTCCGCGCGGCTAGACTTCTGGTCAGGGCGCTTCGCAGGGCGAGCATGGCGCTGCTTGGACCGCTGAGAAGGGCAGCCAGCCGGTATTCTTTCTTAGATCCTCCTCTTAATGGCTTCCCGGCTGGACTGCTGGCGGACGCAGGCTCGGGGCGGGACTCGGCGGGGTCAGCTCCGCCTGCGGTGCCGGGAGGCCGGCCCGACTGCCCAGGCCGCTGGAGGCCCGGCGCCAGGCGCGTTTGGCATCATCCCCGACCGTTCAGTCCCCGCGTGTGGCCCTGAACGTTCTTAGCACGTCAGAGGTCACGTTAGGAGCAGCTGGATGCTGAGACGTGCCCGTGTCGCCCTTCTGAGCCCGTCACGTCATCTCCAGGAGCAGCTGCGTGCAGTTCCACGTTTGTGTGGAGAAAGCGAGCGTATAGGGCCCTCGAGAGAAGCAAGTGTAGGTGCGTGCGTCTGTAACGCTTCACGCTGCAAATCGTGGAGGTTGCTGCCTAGTTAGGTTTTATTCGGAGTGGCGTCCACACAGCTGAAGAACGGGGAGCCTTCACTCTGCGGCCCTAAATGCCTCCTCCCTCCCCATCGCCGCCCTGCGTGACCCTGTAAGGCTCCCGATAATGATTTAGACTATTTCCCAGGAGCTCAGAGGAATAGGGGCACCGACTAGATACGAAAACGTCTAATTGAAACATACGTAGCTTGAAATCAAATAGTTTCGTAAGCCTTAAAAGCAAAAGAGCAGACTTTAACCCTGAATGCTGGGTTCCCCTGTGGCGGGATCAGCCAATACACCCGTAGACAGTGTAGAGAAGAGAGCTTTATTCAGCAAGCCGGCAGGTTGCAAGCTGGGAGGACTGCTGTCCTGAAGACCCATCTTAAGTCAGGCTTGATTTCAAGCTCTTTCTATGCTAGGGAAAGAGGGTTTGGGAGGGTGCAGGAAGGTGACAGGTAACTTCGTACATCCGGACATCAGAGAGGGTGAACACCTCTGCCAGCAAAGGTCCGGTCCTGACATTCCTGCAAACTCCTGAGAGAACAGTTATTTTGTCTTCTCTCGTTTTTTTGTAAGCAAAATTAACAAGCCTATGTGCAGAGCTGCAGTTATTTTTGCAAATCTAAAAGGGAGTTTTGATTAAAGTCTTGCAGTAACTTTCCATTCCCCTCCTTGGTTTGTCTTTGGTCTGTTTTCTATGTCTAAATTCCAGGAACAAAATACACAATGTTGCTCTATGGGTCCAGTTACCCTATCTTGCTCCTGGAGGCTTGCAAGGACTTAAGAGACCAGATTTTAATTTGATCTTGTCTTCCCCATCCCCAACTGTCTCCAGGGAAAATGTTTTCAAAATTTTCAGCTGTTCTAATGCTTGTTCCCTTTATTCTAAATTATGGACATTTTTTGGTGTTTCTTGATATTATCTGTTACAGGTAGAATCTATTGCTTGGATAATGAGGATTCAGGTTTCTTACATATCTTCCTCCCCAATACCCTTCTCTTTCTCCATCTGATAATGCTTACATTGAGAATTGTTATTACATTATTAATTTATATTTTATTAATGTTTATGTCTAAACTCACATTACACACATAATTACACAATGCATAATTAAACACAATTACACACACCATAGTTACATTGTTGCATACATTGAAGTAAGTTTGCTTCACCATTAAGACTAGGGAATTATCACAGACCTATCCCCTGTGGTTGTATTAGTTGTGGCTTGTGCAGTTGCTTTTGAATTATATTCACAAGAAAGGGAGACTTTTTAAAATTAGTAATTCTAGAGGGGATGAATCAGTTTTTCCAAATGGGCATCCATTTCTAACTAATGAAGATAAATCAAAGCATCATCTCTGCCCAGACTGGATCTTTGTGCTGAAATTTATTTTTATTAGACTTTCCCCGCCACTGGAATTAACAGTTTATTCACTCATTAAATTGATATTGATAAAATTCCTCTTATGCATCAGGCACATTTCCAGAAACTGGGATGTAGTGTTGATCAAAAGAACTTAAAGGTTAGGGAAAACAAATAAATGAGGAGAAAAATCTACCAGAGATTAATAAATAGTATGAGGAAAACAAAGTAGGATATGGAGAATAGAAAGTGCTGGAGGGAGGTAGCTGACTTAGCTATTTCCCAGTATTCATCTCCACTTCTGACAGCCCCTTTTTAACAATGGAATCCATGCAACTTGGTGCAGCCATGTAAATCCTGGTCAGTGAGATGTGTTAGTGCATTTGACCTATTGTAATGATCTTAAAGCAGTGTAGGAGGGGTTTTCGCTCTCTGTCCCTTTCTTATTTCTGCTTGCTGGACTGTGGATGTAATGGCTTGACTTCTTGGATTACCAAGAAGAAGTCACATGATGAAGATGGTAAAACAACAGAGAGAAGCCTAGGTTCTGACACCACGGAATTCATACCAGGAGTCCTGGACTGCCCATCTCTGGACTTCTGTTCATGAGAAATCATCTAGTTTAATCCACTGCTACATGGTGTAAAGCTATCTTCTTAAACAATAGGAGAGTGACTATTTTATTTTTCTGTTTTTAATTTTTTTCTATTATTTTCCTTATACCTATCACTTATTGATCACCAAATTCTTTGCCAAGGGTATAAATTTCCAATGTAATTAAACCTATTAATCAGCTTAACAGTTTCATCTTCTAGAGTTACATTTTGTGAGTTCCTTGTTCTCTTGCTCTAGTGTAGACTAGTTGTTCTCTAAGGTGTCATGGAAGTAATTCTGGGCTCTCCTTTCACTCATGTCTTGGAGAATATCATTTGTCTTGTGTGGACTTCCCTGTCTCCAGGATCTTTTTATCTTTTTTTTTTTAACCCCTAATTTTAAGAGAGGGTACATGGAATTAAACTTTGGACTCTTGCATCTCTAAAAATGTCTGTTTTATCAACCCTCTTTATTTATAGTTTGGGTGGGCATAAAATTCAACATTGGAAGTAACTTTTCTTCATATATTTAAAGATAATGCTCTGTTCCATTATAGTTTCTAGTGGGAAATTCATACCATTCTGATTCCTGATCTTTTGTGTGTGGTTTCTCCCTGGAAGCTCTTATATGTTTCTACTTTTCCCTGATTTTCTGAAATTTCACAACAATACTCCTTGGAGTAGGTCTTGCATCCATTGTGTCTCATTCAGTAGATCCTCTCAATCTGGAAACGATCATATTATAAAAATTTACTGAGTTTCTTGGGTTTTTCTTCCCTTCTGTACTTCTACAACTTCTGTTACTCAAACATTATGCCTCTACTTGATCCTCTAATTTGCTTTTTCCTCCTAATTTTATCTCAGTTTTGGTTAAAATTTTTAGAGGGGGAGCAGGAGAAGTATCCCAATTTTATCATCTAACTTGTCTATTAAATTATTAAAATTTTAATCTCATAGTATTTATTTCCAGGAGCTCTTTTTACCTCTTTTCCAGAGTGTTTTTTTTAATCTCAACAAAAAAAATTTTTTTTATAAGAATCCAAAGTGGGTTTTCCTGGTTGGTGGGCAGTTCTTCTATACATGATGCATTAATAACTCAGACTTCTTCCACCCATGGCTTTGCTTCCACCCTAGAAATTCATCATTAATTATATCCAGCCAGCAGAAAGATAGAGGGAACTTCCAAGAAGATTTTGCAAAAGGAAAATGCTTACAAGATAGGAGTAAAGTTCAGGCTACAACTTGATAAAATAAATATTGTTGAATGCTATTAGGTGCCTAGGACAATCTCCTTCTCACAGGTTTTAATTATTCTCAAAATGCTTTAAATTAAACTATCTCTATTTTATAAGTGAGAAAGGTCAGATTCTCAGGGATTAATAGTTTCCTCAGATTCACAGCTTCTAAGTGCCTTAGCCAGGGCTTAAAGCCAGCTTGTAAAACAAAGTCAGTTTACCATATATTTTTAAAGGATATGTGATATCTAAGGAAGTTTAGGTTTGGAGTGGAAAACAGACTAAGTAGCATTTAAAAAGTATTGTTTTTCTATAACTTTTTTTTTTAACATATCCCTGCAATGCCTGGAAAATACATAGGTTAAACATTTTGAAAATTATTGTTGTATATACTAAACTTCTGACAAGCAGTCCAAAGAACAAGTATTATAAAACTAGAAATATCAACCAAAAAACTGGATTATTAAAACTAAAGTAGCAAATATGATATAGAATGATTGGTTATTTAGATTGGGTGGGTAGAGAGGGCATTTAGGAAATAACATGAAATATTTATCATCCTCTCCTTCGTCTACCTGGCTCCTGTTCCTGGGAGGCCCTGAAGCTCCTCTGCAAACCTGCACAGATGGGGCAGGACCCTCTCCAGGGCATCCCAGAGGCCTCCCCGTCATAATTACACTGGGGAGTAAGTCAGGATCTATGCTCCTGGTGGGGACAAAGCCCACTTCCCCCGAGTGCACGGACTTCCCTATGAACCACTGAAGCCCAGGCCCGACAAAGCCGATGATCTCGATGCTTTCCCCCTGTTGGAAATTCAGTTCATCCTTTTCTTCCCTCTCATGTCCCCTTAAGGCTTTACATTTTCCTCTGCCTGTTGGGAGAGAGCACACAGATCAAGTACATAAGGCAGAAATAGCTGAGTCTTCCATGAGCGTCCAGTGTGACAGGAAACGCGAGGTTCCCAGACTTCAGAATTTCAAGGCCCAGTAAAATCTTCCCCCAAAGAAAAAAATGGTAGGAGTGACACAGGTAATTGGCTCTTAATTTTGCCAAACAAGGACATTCAAAGATTGGAACTACCATCTGCTCTCACCATCGTTTTATAAAAGAAAAGAGGCTTTTTAACGAATGCAGGAGAGATG